GATCTAGACAGGCTGTTACCAATTTTACAGTGTAGATGTGTCTCATGTTTTTATAGCCTTTTGGATTCTGTGGAGTAATGGCAACCAGATCCAACTTAGAAGGGGAAATATAAACCACTATATCGTGCTTGTCTTCAGGATGGCTCCAGTGTGCGCCTGTATAAAGCAAACTAGTATGTAGATAAATGTCTGTGCTTTGTGGAGCACTTAACCTACCACAAGTGCAATCATCACCCTATTTAATTTCAGATGTTGTCTTGTCTTTAGGAATTACAGTGCACTTCTGTATCTCTGATTTATGGCATGGAATGCTTTAAAAAAAGGCACACCTCTGAACAATTATTCACTCCCTTGGACAAGTTAGCTTGAGCACATGTTTAAGTTTCTGATGGTACCCACAATGGCTCACATTATCTGCCATTTGACTTATAGTATGAACATCTCATTAAGAACAGTCAAAGCAAACATGAGGCAGCACTGATTCAACTATTTATTTTCTGCAGCCCAGTTAAAATGCTAGCTTTGTGCCATAGTCCAGAACCTGCCTCTTTAATAATGTTTGCAAAGAAGCAACCTGCAATCAGAACAATGATGGGGTTGCTTCCTCTTCCAGGGCCAGCAGCTTCTGCCTCGAACAGAAGGGAAGGGCTGGGATGGCCTATAAAAACAGTTGCAGGGGCTACCGCCATTGCCCCACTGCCCAGCCTTTGCCACCTGAGACAGCTGCCTCCATCAGCTTAATTGTGCTGACCCTGGATAACTCGGAGAATTAGACCACACAATCCCAAGTTGAGGAGCCACTTCTCTGAGACAAGTGACTAGGGAGACACTCACGTGGAATATCTGCTGCTTATACAAATCAAACGCAAGACCTGCATGCACGTGGCTGTATAAAAGGGTTGCAGTTTAACCCTGTCATTTTAATTCAGGAAACAGAGATTTAGCAGGTTTCTAAGATGATATTCATGGAGTCTGCACTTGAAATTCCCTAAGGAAACAGCTTTGCCCCTTCTGGCTAAAGTTTCCTAAACACCATCTTGCAGGCCATGTATATTTGGATGAAAGCAGACATCATGTGAGATCTTTGATTTTTTGGTCAGAGCATGGCCTCCTATTCATCGGCGGGGGAATAGAGAAAATTAGAATGAATCCTCTCATCTGACTATCTATTAGGAATGGACTGGAGAAAGGTTGTCACTTCATTCACACAAAGTTGTGCAATGAAGATATTTGTGCAACAGTGACTCATACTAGCTGTATGCCAGTGCTTTTGACTGGGAAATGATACACAATAAGGTCAGGTCTTTTAAATGGAAAATAAGGTATAGTCAAATAAGTGGTACATTATCTGTCCGATAACCATTCATAGATGGTAAATATTGTCTGACAAAAAAATATGTCTGCTTCCACAGATATATATCCCAAACAAGCAATACCACTGTTCAGAAAGACAAAAGTGTCTTTAAGAATGCATTCATGTACAGAACTACTGGGCATTCTGCTCCTTTTTGTATAAGTATTTTTTCTGAAATTACCTATTGTGTTTTACTGTAGATAAATACTTTTTTCCATCTAGCTTTAAAATTATGGGATGAGTTCAGGCAAATCTCAAGACTCACACAATGACTTTATGCAATGCAAAAAAAGTTAACCAATGGAATTTAAACGTTTTTGCTTTTTATCCAAACTGATATGATAGAATTTCATTGCAATAATCTTTTACTTGAGGAGGTATGTTGCCGTCTGCACATGCACGCACATGCACTCACACACACAAAATCCTGCCACTTTGCCACTTTTCTGGCTTTTCTCATAAAAAAAAGAGCTAGGATGTTTTTGAATTCACTTCTCTACCAGGTACCAAGAGATCAAGACAAATTAAATTCCTTGGTAGCCTGCCAACATCCTGACATGTATTTCCAGGTTTAAGAAATCCATTTGGAAACTCATTTGACAGTGTTTTATTAAATTGATAGTTGAAAACTCAAGGTGCCATTCAGATTGTATGCTCATATTACATGAACTTGGTACTTTATTGCATTTTGCAGTATAGTATATTGTTGCTTGAAACATATGGAAAACTGGGTAGTTACCCCATAAAGAATTCTTGAAAGGAGTTCCTAGCGTATTTCAAAATGCCAGGTTCAAAATGCCAGTCATCAGGATCCCACATCTGGAAAGCATCTTCCTTAAAGAATGCTCCATGTAATTGAGTGAGATTGAAGAAGATTTTACAAGACATTAAGGAGGGTGTGAAGTGGGCATGTTTAGTGCACAAGATGCACTGTACAAAATCTTTCACTTGTCTGACTGTAAGAAACATCTTTATGACCCTGAATCAAATATCAGGCTAGGATAAGTAAAACTGTCAATTTTGCTTCCTCCCCTATTGAAAATGTTCAGGTTCTTGCTTTTTAGTTATGAATGAATTTCCATATTTGGGAAGTTCTTGTCCAAAAATAAAACGCAACTGAAACAAAATTCGCACTCATCTGTACCAGCAAAATTCAGTAGGTATACATGCTTGTAGCATGAAGTGGCCCATGATGTACCTGCCTGCCATATAGTTATTAAAGAGTTTGTCTGCAGAAAGAAATGGCAGCCATAGTTTAGCATTACCATGAATACACAGGAATTCAAACCCCGACTTTTAAGGACAACACACTGAAGATCCTAGGCCTTGACTGACAAATCTGTCAGTTTAGGTCTCTTTCATTTTCCATTTTTTTACTCTCAATTCCTTTTTGCCCCAAATATGGAGAACTTTGTGAATTTCATAAATTCTTATTAACAGTGACCTGGCTGAAACAAATTTCTTGCCTGTAGCTAATACAGGTGCTTTTCATTGCTAAATACAGCCATTTGAGAGAATCTGGTATTATACAAAGACTATTTTATAAACCTTTCAATTGTTAAAATGTAAGCTGCAGTCCTTTACACACATTTTTGAGACTAAACTCCTTGGAACTCAGTGTTGATCATATCTGTTTCAATACACATAAATCTTGTTTGCACATGGTTGATTACCCATAGTGGGCTGTTGCTTGATGCAATTCACTTCCATTTGTTGATTTGATGGTGGAAGAGGTAGAGAGTTTCACTCAGAAGCCAGCAACCCTAGCAAATCGGTTGCATGACGGGTGCCAAAGTACCGATTGAGAGAATGAGAATTTCTACTGCAAAGGGATATATGCCAGAGTCAATGGGAGGACCAAAGGAATACATGGGGACTGAGGGGAGATGAAGCATGGCAAGACTGATAGTCTTTTAGGATAGCAGGTGACTTCTTTTCAGGGTGACTCAGCAAGATGGGCAGACCTGTCCTTAGAAGCAAGCTGTGAGTGGCCTCCCTCACCACCCAACCACATACATACACAGGCAGAGTAATGAGCATTTCCAATCAAAATCAGCATTACTGTCACTGTACAATATTTACCATGCTATCTTTCGCACAGTATGGCTTTTAGAAAGGTCAAAAGAGTAGGTATGCAGATTAAAATGTACCAGGGGCTGATCATGCTAATATTGTGATTGTTGATATACAGTGAAATGAGCCTGCTAAAGTGACAGTAGGGCTGGCTAGTTTCAAGGAGAAGTTAGTTTTGCTCTGTCATTATCATACACATGATAACAGCTTCCTCCTCAGAATCCATGGGTATAGTGCAGATGTCTGGAGGACAAGGTTTGTGGCTTACACATGCAAGCCCCCTTCTTCCAGACATTTGTGCTGTACACACAGACAAAAGGCATTCACACAATGTCAGGAATGTGGCTCCATTTATATTTTCACTTACTTACCTATTGCCTTTCTACGCTGTCCAATAGCCAACGTTCTCTGACTGATTCAAAGCAACAACATGTAAAACCACAAACCCATTGAATTAAAAATGGAATGAAACCAAAGATAAAAACCAGCACCAGTGGAGAGATCTAAACATGCACTAAAAGCTCAATTCTATGGCCTCCTGACAGTGTCATGGAGGCCAAAGCGTTATTTAGCATCCCAGCTCCAAAATCCTACAATATCAAGGTGGAGTTCCAAAGGCCATTTCCCGCCTCCCCAGCCAGAACAGAAAGAAACATTATAGCTGCCCTCCAACTCAAGGTCACAAGTGGGCCGTGCAGAGGACGAAAAGCGGCATGTTTGGGAAGGGGAGGGAAGGAGACTGAGGCTTATGCTGATCCCTATTTGGTAACCCTCTTTCCTTACCACTCCCAGGAGTTTATCTCAGGGACTGAAAATGCCAGTCTAGATAAAATAGTGCAAGGTGTGATGGGTTTCATGGGTAGGAAGCACATAAGCTTCTGGAGTTTGGGCACTTGATTGTGCCCTAACCTTTAAAAAAAAAAAAATAAAGGACGAAAAAGGCTGGGAAGATAAAAAGGATTGGTTCTATGGGTGGGGGGGAGGGGGGAAGACCCTCTACCTACTCACTGTCACAATTTGGATTGGGGCCTTGTTGTCTACCCAGGATGAGAAAGAAAAGCGGATATAGTTACAAATTTAATGTCTGCTTTAGCCCTCAGATTTCCAGTAAGTCCTGGTTTTGAAGAATTTGCTTCTGCTCTCAATGGCACTCAACTTATGTATACCTCATCAAAGCACATTTATACTTCTTGCAAGTAGAGAATGGAGAACAAACTTTTAATTCATTTGTTTGTTCCTCCTTTATAGTTCTTTTTCATTTTCGGAAGGGAAGAGAGACTCCCCTTTGTTTGTGTGCCTATGATATATTGAGCAGAAATAGTAAAATGAAACAATCTACATCCAGCCTTTCTTGAAATTTGAAGAGTTCTGAAAATGATCCCCAGGTGTTCCACAATGTTAAAAGCCTGGGAAGATCTTAATATCCCAGAACCATTTACCTTACTTCCCAGGAGAGTATGAACATGGCATCATGAACATGCAGCTCTTTCATATTTCTAACACGTACTCTGGTTGTATTTCAGAGCTCTGGGATTTGAACAGAACATCCGTCTTTCATAGCCCGTCTGGATATCTGGGTCTTCATGTAATGCTTCTGGATGAGTATCAAGATCGACTCTTTGTGGGAGGAAAGAACCTGGTATATTCTCTCAGCTTAGACAGAGTCAGTGAAAATTACAGAGAGGTACAGTAACTACTTATGCGCTCTGAGTCATGACAAGAAATCCTTCAGAAAAACTTTTTCCTTTGTAGTGAAAGGAGAAGGCTGTATTACCAAATGTTTGCACATGGAACACATGGGACACAATCCACTGGGAGCACCAATTGTGCAAGTCCATTCCAAAATGTCCATTTTAATAGGGCTTTGAGCAGGTCGTGTTCCTTGTAGCTTACATTCCTAGCTTTTACTTCAACTTGAACATCATATAGAATTAAAGAAATTAATTGTCTGTGTATGTACACACACACACACACACACACACACACCTGCTTCTTGTTTCATTTTTTGACTAGCAAATAGAGCCAGCTTCACACGGGTTGAAACAGCCCTTGGTTTGACACAATGAAGCCTTCAAGTAAACTTACACAAGTGCCACAGTGGACAAAATTTGCCCAGCCTGTCCAGGTGAAGCTCCACCAACCACCACACGTAGACATGGCCCCTGTATTGATGCACCACTGTGCAGTAGAACTCTGTCCACTCTTCCACCAAGAGAGGCTGTCTCATTGCATATCACTCTGCCCCACAAGCCACAGCAATCCCCATAGAGTTTGTAAAGCTATGCATTGGTTTGGAGAGTCTGCCCTTAGAGAATGAGGAAGTTACTGCAGGAGTGCACTGTATAGATATATTTAAATGAATTAAAATTAATTATTGTATTTTAACAAAGAAGGAACCCCAGGGTGAACACAGCTAGAGTCTCCATAGTATGTGCACCAAGTTGACACAGATGGACAGACAGAGAGGCATGTACCTCTATTATTACTCTACGTTTCACTTTCAGCATGTAGAGATTTTCATGGATTACTGTTGTTTCTTCAGTATGTTTGTCCTACCTTCAAGGAATGGTGGGTCTGGTGACATGCTTGAATGACTGCGTATAGAAATAGTTTTCTTTGGAGCTGGGGCTTGACCTGGGCCAGGATCCATCCTCAAGAGCTGGCCATTATGTGATGATAGCAAGATCCTCCTGCACCAAATAATGTACAGATGGAAATATTGAATCGGTGTGATATGTTTTGCTTTGGGATGGAATCATTCCACCATGTTGGAGAGTGGCTTAGCACAGTCTGCAAAATGGCAAATGATGGATCACACATTCATGGTGGGGTCAGTGGTGGGGTAGAGAAATTTCACATGTTTTATGAGTGGAGAAAGTTCCACCTTCATCTAAAAAACGTATAGATCTTAAAAACCCTTTACTGCATACAATTTCGAGTACAACTGCTGTAAACACTCAAGGGATGCAGATATAAATATATCTTTGTAGAATATCAATCACTATAGGAAGTGAAATTTGAAGGTCCTGGAGAGGACTGTGGCACAAGAATAGAGAATGTTTCATGTAAGGTATTGTTTTCAGTCTGATTATGCCTGCTGATAGCTTTAAGATCCCAGCTCACAAGAGAATTCAAAGACATTTAGAAAGTAATTTGTTTGCAACCATTAATATCAGGTGTTTACCTTCTGAGATAATACATGAAATATCTGCTGCCTTTTTCTAGGGGGAATTCAGTTCCATTTCAAGAGTTCTTTAAAAAAAATGCATAGCTATTGTCTTTCTTTCTGCCCATTGAACAGCTCAGCTCATCCTTTCTCCTGGGGGCTTCAGTGCAGAAAATGTCAAATAAATGATAAGGATTTGTCAAACACTACCTAAAGCTATCCAGAGGGATGGGTAAGCCAATAAAACTGTAGTGCTACAGAATTAGTTTTCTCTGGATGAAGTAGAACTGGAGAGTTAGGGTGTCTTTTGCACAGCTGCTAAGCCTGTGTCAGCTTCCCAGGAGCCTACAGCCCTCCAAGGATGTAACACTTTAGCTAACTTCTAGAAGTTGGCATCTTTCCCCTCTCCTCAAAAAATTAAAATGTAAATTGACTTCAAACTATTTCTTTAACTCACATAATAGCTGAAGGGTATACATAAACTGGAGAGAGATATGAGTTATCCGGCAAACCATTAAATATCCTGCTCTATTGTTTAGCTGTAAGCTAACAAAGAAGAGACTCCCAGCAGCATTTGCAGCATTTTTTTGGCTTGTGTTGCTCCTTTTTGCGTATATGATGCTGTACATTTTGGGTGATTCATGTATTTGTTGCTGTTGCTATTATGCACCATAGAGTCAGCTCCATATGGCAGCCCTGTGAATGAAGGCCTCTAAAGTGAACTGTCCTTGACAGTGCTGCTCAGCTCTTGTAAACTCCAGGCAAGGACTTCCTTCATGCAAATGAGCCATCTCATATTCAGTCTTCTTCTTATTAGTCTGCTTTCAGCTTTCCTTTGCATCATTGTGTCTCATGTATTTTGTAAAGTCTGATTTTATATAAGATGGTTCCGATCAACAGCCCTGCAAATAACAAGAATATAATATGGCCAAAGGCATTGTCCATGCCCTCTCTTTTACACTTTACTTTCCATCCTGAATCACCCACTGTACACAAAAGCCATATAAGAGATAGGACAGATTTTGCAACACATTGAGCCCTGGAACATCTTGCAATCCTTTATAGGCAGCAATCACTCAGAGCAGCCTTCCCCAACATGGCGCATGCCAGATGTGTTGCATTGCAATTCCCATCTCCTGCAGTGAAGGGAAGATAAGAATTGCAACCCAGCGCATCTGGAGAGCACCATACTGAAGAATGCTTCCTTGGAGAGTAGCATGACAAAGCTAAATATACTTTGGCACTGTGAGGTTCCACAAGAAGATGCACTGCAGATGTTTTATATCCAGGGAGATAAAATGACTGCATGTACATAATGATGTCTTATTCAGACCTCTTCAGATTCCCATTAGGGTTGTGTATCAGTTAAAATATGTGCCATTGATGGGTAGTGCTTTTCACTGACTCATAGATTAAATGTAAACTACTTTTCAGTTTGCAACAACCTCAGTCCAAGTACCTTTTTGCATGACATGTAAGCAAATGTGCACTTTAATAAGCAAAAACTTCCACTTTTTATTAGACATGTAGGCTGTTTATCATATTATCCTTGCCATTCCATTATAAAGCCATTTGTAAGCCATCCAGAGACTTTTAGTATTGGGACAGCATACTAAAAATGTTTAATTAATTAATTAATTAAAGGGGGGGCAACACTAGGGAGGAGACAGTCTTCTCACATTTCTGTCACATTCATGGTGGCAAAATAGGAAAACAGCTCAGAGACTGTTCAGTGGTTAATCTTGACTTTGGAGACTCAGCCTATTTCTTTGCAGATTACTCATTTTAGAGCTCTTTCTTAAAGACAGAAGTGCTAAGCATAAATGCTTCTATGAATGTAGTGCAATAATTATCTCTAATCTGATGTGGTCATGCCAAAGATAGCAGTATATTAGGCCAGGGGAATAAAATAATCTTCCCCAGCTTCCCTCTCCACTAACTTAAGCAGTCAGAACAGAGAAAAATTATAATTCCTGTAACAGTGGCAGAGACTTCAGCTCTTGCTTATGTCTTGAGCTCCATGAAAAAAGGGAAGTCATAGATTTGATTCCTGTGTTGTTCAGGTGCCTCCAACGGGGACAATGAAGTGAATTTTTATTTAGTAAACTCAGCTTTCATCCTGCTGCATGGATCTAATTTAGAACAAAAAGAAAATATTCCTTATAGACATATACCTTCAATCATTATCCAGTTCAATGATACCTTAGAAATTTCAGCAACAAGGAACAAATCAGAAATCTCAAAGGGTGAAAATATGAAAAATATAAGCTGGGTGGATATAAAACACCCTGGATAACTTAGAAACAGCTTAATTGGTAAAGAATGTGAGGTTGTCATTCTCTCCAGACTTACATAGAATGGCTATTTTTTCTCTTCCACACAGTTCACTTATTTCAAGCTACACACATTTACAATACATTATTTAGGGTACAGGACTCTGGACGTTTAGATAGAAAAAATCCGATAAATCTCTGTATGCTTCAGCCAGGTGGCTGGGGCATACTGGGATTGTAGACCTTTTCCACCTCTAAACTTACATAATATTGTGCCTTTAAACACATAAGTGCACTGCCACATAAATTACTGCTTGGTTGTGTATTTAAAAGCAATTACTACTACTACTTCTACTACTACTACTATTAAATATGTAGAAAGAGGTCCCAGGGCAGGGGTCCTCAAACTTTTTCACCAGGGGGCCAGTTGAAACCTGCTGGTGCTGGGCATGGGCTGGAATGGTGGTGCTGGCCGGGTGTGGGGATGGTGCGTGCAGGTGCGCACACTGAAGTGGGGCCGGGGCGCTTGGTGAGGCAAGGTGAGGTGAGGTGCAGGTGGGGGCGGGCACATGAGGCAGCGGCTTGCTCACTTGGAGATCGTTTTCTCCGAGCAAGCAAACCTCTGCCTCCCTGCGCATGGGGCGAGGTGGGCAGCAGTGGGTCCAAATGGGCATGGCGGACTGGATAAATGGGTATGGCAGGCTGGATCCGGGCCGTAGGTTGAGGACCCATGTCCTAGGGCAATCCTCAAGAATTGTAAGATCCAGATTCCATTTTTCTTCCTGTTGCATTTTTAGCCTCACTTTTCCTCCTAGAAGCCGAAGCAGATTCATGGAGCTATCTCATTTCTGATGGAAAAGAAATTCTGTCCACCTCATCACATCAGCTTGAGCAGCTATCTACCAAAGATCTATTTCCAACAACCCTAGAGTTTCCTTGAGGTTATACAACAGTTTTTGAAATACACTTCTGAAATGCATAATTCATTTTATTTGTAATCAGTTTGATTACAGTTATCTCACTATTTACTCCTTTTGCCCAACCTAGGTGACAGACTCTTGGCATTACTATTTCCAAGCAGTAATATATGAAGCTTAAGGTCTTTTAGTTCTGGGATACACCAAAGCACTGTCTGGTGGATTAGGGCATGGTTGACTGACCGAAAGCAGAGGGTACCATTAGTGGGGAATCATTGCAATGGTGGCCAGTGTCAAGCGGGGTCCCCCAGGGCTCTCTCCTGGGGCC